CTGACCCTTTGAGAGTAAAGGCAACTTCTCCTGCCTATTAATCTGGGACATTGGTCTTTTTCTGCCTTTGTGGATCTCAAGCCTGCTGGCTTTTGGACTGGAATGATACCATCGGCTTTCCTGGGTCTCCAGCTCGCCAACTGTAGATCTTGGAACATCTCAGCCTCCATATTTGTGAGTCCATTCTTTATAATCAACCAACCTCTCTCTCTCTCTCTGTACTACACGCTATTGGTTGTTTCTCTGGAGAACCCTGAGTAATACATGCTGGTTGAGAACCACTGTTGTACATTAGATTACTAGAGAAAATACAGGAAACAGGGAAGAAAGAAAGAAGCAAAGCAGGGAACTACTGGGCAATGGCTAGATGTTACCTTTCTTTCCAGCGATGGCAGGAAAGCATTTGATTGGGACACCAATCTTCTATTAACACAGGTTGTGGTTGATAAGACCTGGGCTCACTGATGCATTTTTGCATTACACATCCAAGATGGTCCCTGGCACAGAGACTTACTTACCCCAGTGCTAGGATGACAACACTTGGCAGACACTGCTGTAAAATAAGAACAGTCTATAAGCCGCACTTAAAAAAGGTTTTGTTTGTGATCAAGTCACGTTAATTTATTGGTCGTGATAAAATACATGAAATCCACTGTTTTCATTCCAAATAGAGGATACAAAACTTTCTAAATTAATGTGTCGGAAGCAAACTCACGGTGCGTAAGGTGGGAAGAGTTTAACCATACAATGTACTATTCTCTGCGGTCTCCTGAATTTGCCATGCGTTACTCGTACGTGGAGGATTTCTTCTGTGGGCCTTTCTTCTTGCACAGGTGTTTGAATTCCAAGTTTCTTTGAAACTATTTTAAGTTCATATTTGATCTACGCTGACTAAATGACTTTATTTGGCACAAAATGGAAGAGCCAATGGCAGTTAATGTCAGATGCGTCGCAGCAGTTGTCTACTAAGCAGTCGAGCGTGGCACAGAAACATGCTGCAGCACAACGGGTTCTTCCAGGTCTCGAAGACAAAAATCGCAGTTGGTGATCCCTTGTATTTAAGACATCCAGGCTTGGGGCCGTATAATCTCACCAGTTTTCAAAAAGTCCAACCATACAAACATAGAAGTACAGCAGAGAACAATCATTTACAGATTTCACTCTTAGGAATTTAAAAATTAATTATAATAAAATCCCTTAGAGCTACATTTAACGTAAAACATACAAAGACACAGATTACATTATGAAAACTCTTCGTGTGGCTTATTTTACCTCAATTACTACTAAAAAATGACACTTATCAAGGATCTGGGTTACAACACTAAGAATTTGCCTGGGCAGATGATCATTAATGGAATTATACCATTTTCCAGACTTTTTCCATGATTAATAGGTATTTCCTTCAGTTTAAAGTGAGGCCTTTCCAATGTTACTTTAATAGAACATAATGAATAACTATGTTATTATCCCCACTCTATTTCTTGTCTCCATGTACTTTTTAGATGACCTACAGCAAAGAAACGAAAATGGTATTTTCTCCATTGCTTTTGTTCTTTTTTTCCATGTGTAAACAATATGTTTGGGGTAACTTTCCATGAAGCTGAAATTGGCAAGGTTTTATTCCCAATAATGCCAATGAACGAATATCCCCCTTCCTAAAGTCTAAAGAGAAATACTACTGATTAAACTACAATAGAAATGGAATTCTGGCAATGTTGCCATTTCTAGAGTATTTCTAAAAAATAAAAGGAAGAACTGTGTCAAAAAATTATTGAATATTAAATAGTATATGACTGCTTCTAAGACATTCTAGAGTTTACAGGTTGGAATACTGAAGTTAATAGGTTTAGCTATAGAATATATGTAGTTTTCTTTATATGCTTGGTTTTTATTAATAATATTAAGAGAACTTAACACAATTCCTCACAACACCCCTGTGAGGTAGGGATTGTTTATGTCCACTTTACAAGTGAGAAATCAGAAAAACAGAGCAAGAAATAATAATCTCAAGATATAGAAATCAAGAAATTTTGGTTTTCTTATAAGGCAAACTGCACTTATGAGTACCAGAGTTCTGACAATATGCTAATAGGGACAAGTACTGAAACAAGTCTGTTTTTCTCCAGAAAACAACTATATGTAGGATGTGGAAAGTAGAGAGAATCCTAAGTTGATCCAAGAAGAAAATGTCTGCTTGGTATTTGCCTCATACATTAATTAAGGTGCATCTAGCATTTCCAGTTTTAAGAGCTTGGTAATCATGCAAATCACATTATATGGTTAAGATTACAGCTCATTTTACAGATGATGAGGTCAAAACTAAAGGGTTTAGCTGAAAGAACCTTTTTTTTTATATATATATATACAAAGTAGATTCTCTTAGTAAGGAATCAAGTCTTAAAAAAATACACTCAGGGCACAATATTAATTATACGTGTAACAGTTATTTTTAAAATATGCCTGTTGAATGAATGAAAAAAATTAAACTGGGGTCAGTTCCCACACCACTATTCACTGATTCTCTGCAACCCACCTTTTGGGACTTTTTTCCTATAAAATGGAGTTAACATTTTCCCACTCCCTAAAATAGAATATTATGAAGACTAAAAGAAAGAACATTTGCTCTGAATTTCTAACATTAAAAGGAACTAAATGAATGAGAACAAAAATACAATTAACCATTATGTTCTTAACATCTAATAAGTATAAATATATTTCAGCTTTAAATTAATGTCCACCGTGGCCAATCAGCCACAAGCAAACACAATTTCTCCAGACTCTGCCCTGAACTGCTACCCTACACCTCAACTCATATGCACCCGCAATCCCATCCTTCAGCTACGCACTTCTTGTGTCAAGGACTAATGACTGAGCAAGAAGAAAACAGAGAAGGAAGAAATCAGAAAAACTGTCATCCTAGTGCGAAAAATAAAATTTTACTTGAAGAAGGCCGGGGAGTATATGATGAATAGCCTAAAATACAGGAAATCGATGTTAAGATGTGTGTTCACCCTATGAGATGAAATCTTTGAGGGCAGAAAAGTTTGAATCATTGTTTAAGTGACTTAAGTTTAAGATTAGATGAAGTTCTCACCCCCAAGAGCAACACATTTGTTTTTAGCCACTCCCAATGTAACTGCTACTATAAAAACAGCTAGTTAGATTTTATTCTCAACACATAACAATCTTGACCCCAGGAAGTTTTAGTCATTTGTCTGAGGGAGAAACGCTACTGCCTTAGACAATGCCCAGTAGTTTCTTCATTCAGCCTTCAAGAATAACTTACCACTTCATAAGTCACCTAAACTCAGTGTTTACCCAGAGAAAACCTTTGTGCCCTTAGAATGGGCTGGATTACTCTTTCAGCTCCCTTCTGACTCCACTCTGATGCTGTCAGGAGATGTCTTCAGAAGGATGCAGTCAATAAAGGAGCTCAGAGTTTCTGTATACAGTTAAATTGTAAGCCTCACAAGCCAGATTTATTAAAATGTCTGTGAGGCTTTGAATTTAACAGGGCAGCACACACAAAAAAGATGAGGCTGTTTTAAAGCCTCTCTGCTTTGTTATTCTTGACTAATCTTTGAAATTTAAACATTTCAGAAACAATTTAGATCTATCCTTTGTGGTGAAGTTTGACCAGCTATTCCCCAGCTACATAAAGCAGGACAATCTATCATTTAGCCCATCAGTTTTCATTTTTCTGGTGTTTTAGCTTTGTAAGTTTCACTGTTATAAAAGGGAGCTAAGGTTATTCACAAAGGGAAAGCTATCATGGACTTCAGACATAGTTCTAGGACACTGTGTGTACTGTTAGTTTTATGGAACAGAAAAAAATGAAAACTGTGTCACTGAAAAACTACTTCTGCAAGTGATAGAAAATTAACATCAACTTAGGCAGCCTAGAAAATCCTCGGGTGCTGAGGGTAGAAAGACAATTTATATTTTATCAGTTTCCTCTCTAAGCTGATGTAAATCTCTGGTCATAAAAAAAATCTCAAATTGCTCTTAAGATCCTTAAGAAAACGTTCTAGATTAAGGTAACAACATTGGTGTTAGTCAAGGCAGTTCTGTCTGAAGCTCTGTTTATCTAGGTGTATGAACATTTCTGTTTCTCTGCTTAGGATTTTGTTTTACTGTTTGAATCTCCTCCATTTCTCTCTTTTCACTAAAATATTTTTCATTAACAATGAGGTATGCTCAATGTGAAAAAATAAATAAAAGCCATGCAAGATGCTGCAGAGCTAATAAGTAAAAAGTGATTTTAAAACTACTCATGATTTATTATAGCTATGCCTTAAAACAAAATTTTTATACATTATATAGTTATGCATTAGAAATAACTTTAACTCCCTATGTGGCAGAAAATATTATTATTGTTTTTTATTATTTTTAAATCTTTAATGTTTATTTATTATTGAGAGACAGAGCGTGAGTGGGGGAGGAGCAGAGAGAGGGAGACAAAGAATCTGAAGCAGGCTCCAGGCTCCGAGCTGTCAGCGCAGAGCCCATGTGGGGCTCGAACTCAGAATGGCAAGATCATGACCTGAGCCGAAGTTGGATACTCAACCAACTGAGCCCCCCCAGCGCCCCAGAAAATATTTTTAAATAGTCTTTACGGTGGCTTATTCATGTGAAAAATTAGCCAAAACTGATAGTCTAGAGTATTCTTTAAAAAATTTCATTTACTTCATTTTCAATTTGGTTCTGATTCTACTTAGAAATTCTATAAATATTTACTCTAAAGTTCCATTATTCTTACACTGATTTCTGATTTCGTAATTGTGATTTATGAACGGTTCACGCTCTACTTGAAGGTTACATTTTAATAGCCATGTGTATAACATACCTTACAATAAGACCTAATATATACCACCTTAAAACTATGGATAAATGGCAAAGAAAAAAATGAACAGACGTTGAGGAGGAAGAGAGTTTATGAATAAAAAAATGCACGTGGATTTTTTTTCAGAATTGATATAAAAATTATGGAGGAGAAACTGCTACTCCACAAGGATAGTGTCCACACTTTCTTGTGTGAGCTCTGACTCTAAGGCACAGGATGAATCTAACTGTTCTTGCGACAAGCAAGAACTTCTCAGGGGGACATCAGACCAGCTGTCACAGTACGGCTGAAATCTCTGGGCTACCGCATTACTGAACCTTTGGCATCGGTTGTATCTGGAAGATTTACCTTTGTGTATATACATGTGTTCCAGCAGTTGGCTTTTTCGGAGAAATTTATGACCACAGATGGAACAGCTGATTTTTCTTTTCCTTGAAAAAGAAAAATTACAGTTTAATTCTACTGGCTCTGAGTCTTTGGAGATCAGAGACACTTGGCTGATCTGCAGAGGCTCAGTGGTACCCTGGTTTGAGTGGTCAGGCTGCTGCTCATTCTCCTTGACAATGAAGGAGCTGACCCTGCGGCATTCAAGAGCCTCACTGTTTTCATTAAGTGGATGCACTTCACCAAGGTCGTTGCTTTCCAGAATGGAAGCAGGGACACCAAACGGGAGGGATCCGGACACGTGGGTATGGAGATGCTGTCTTAGGTTACTACGGGAATCAAAACGTTCCCCACAGTAATGGCATAAGTGTATTTTGATACCGCTTTCGGTGAAAGTGGGGCCTGTCACCTCCGCTGAGGGTGAGGGATGGCTCTGGGAGATCACAGATTCTGGGTCACATCTCTCCTGCTTGATGGACACTGGGGGCTTCTGGTGTTCCTCCAAGGCCTGGGCAGCAGGACGGGCCCTCTGCTGATCGGCAGTGCCATCATCCAGCCCAATAGCGAGAGAGAGCTGCAGCTGGGGGTGGTCGCCCTGCGCAGCAGCCCTGTTGCCACTGTTACTGGAAGGAGCTTCTTTGACCTCCAGCCCCGGTTTGACAGCTGTTTTTTGGGTTGTTGAGATCTGAATGCCATACAGATTGGAGGACTGCACAGTCTCTGGTGAGAACACCTGATTCATTTCAGTCGCAATGTGAGAAAGGTAGTCGGCGTGAAGAAATCGAATCCCTTCCTCCAGACGACTATGATCCACAATCTGTTTTGGCCCTTTCCCCGTATACATAATGTGCAGCAAATAGCTGAATATGTCAGGTTGGATATCAGTTGGTTGTATTTTTATGCATTCACTGTTAAAAACAAAAAACAGAACCGCACAAAATGAAATGACCAGCTGGCCTTTTGGGTAGCAGCATACAGTCTAAGGCTAACGTGATTTCTTCCCAAGAAGTTCAAACTTAGCAATCTGCCTTGATGAAACATATCAACGGAAAATTAAACTTTCACTATACACCAGCTCTGTGGCCCAGCAACAAGTCTTCATGTCTTCAACCTACCGCCTAAAGTTAAGAAACACACACAGATGTTCTGATGAGTTCAACATTTAGGGACTCCTGAGTGATATGCCCTATACGAGCTTCCAGGGAGTAGAAACATGATGAATAAAACAGGTCCCTTGCTGTTAAGGAACTTACCAGTCTTTTGAATATATAATCAAAAGAACTGAGAATGGGGACCCAAAGGACACCTGCACGCCAGTCTTCACTGCAGCATTATTCACACTAGCCAAAAGGTGCAAGCAATGCGAGTGTCCAGCAACAGGTGCCTGAATAAACAAAATGTGGCCCGTCCGTACAGCGGACTATTACTCAGCCAGAGACAGGAATGAAGCACTGACACCTGCTACAACATGGATGAACCTGGAAAACGTCTGGTAGGTGAACTAAGCCAGACACAGAAGGACACATTTTGTAGGATGCCACTTATAAAAAATATCTAGAGCAGGCAAATTCATGGAGACGGTAAGTAGATTAGAGGTTACCAGCAGTTTGGGCCGGGAGAGATGGGGAGCTATTGCTTAATGGGCACAGAGTTGCTGTTTTGGGTGATGAAAAGTTTTGAAAATGACAGCAGTGATGGTTGCACAACGCTGCGAATGTACTTAATGCCAGTAATTATATGCTGAAAATGGTTCAAATGGCAAACTTTATGTTATATATATTTTACCAAAATAAAAAATATTAAAAATTTTAAAAGGATCTATTGAAATTGGCAATATTTAGAATTTCAATTACACTAATCCCAGGGGCACCTGGGGGGCTCAGTCGGTTGAGCATATCCACTGGCTCATAGGTCACGAGTCGCGGGTTTCGTGGGGTTCGAAGCCCCTAGCATCAGGTCATGCTTGCAGTGCCACACAGCCTGAGGCTGTTTTAGTTCCTGTGTTCATCTCTTCTGCCCTCCCTGCTCGCAGAACAGAGACTTCTGCTTCTCTGTCTCGCTCTCTCTTCTCCTGTCAACAAATAAATAATAACAATAAATGGGGACAACAAATATGTGTATCAATTTTATTTTGGCTTCCTAACTATATTAACACATCTAGTCTTTACATCACAAATGAATACAGGCATAACTTTGAAAAACTTCAAAATAACCCCAAGCCCAACTTTTAGATATGAATCTAGAATTCAGATAATAGGTGGAAATAATGAGTGAACAAGAAATTGGGAAACACCCTGCAAGATGAGGATAAACAGAACCTGAGGGAAGTGCTGGATGTCAAGGAACAACAGAATCAGTCAACGGATTTACCTTCCCTGAAGCAAAACTTTGTGAATGCTTCACCATGCACTGGGTGTCAGTAAGTATAGCGACAATCCATTTCTTTAGTCCCCGTATCTCGGGATTGCCTCCTGGGTTTCACTCTTAGCTCTCACCCACCCACTTCCAGGGTCTGTGGCAGGGCTTTTTTATATCGGTACAGAGCTCTGTTAACTGAGGATTTTTAGTTGCTCAACAGAGATACCAGACAGCAGGGCTGACACCTTTGCATCTCTTGGATTTAGTTCAGCGTGCATGGTGCCTGGCACACAACAGGCGCTTTGGGAGCTGAACCAACTCACAGCTCTTAGAGGAGACTGATGTGAAGGTACTGTTTCTAATCCAGTTTCGAGACTGACCCTAACTATGACATGTCCTCCCCTCCAACCTCCTCCCTCCTTGTGCCATGCATTCCAGTCATTCTGATGTACTCCGTTTCCTCAATGTACTAGCCTGGTTCATACCTGCCTATGTTTCCGTGCACTTTTCCCTCTGCCTGCAACGCACCTTCCTGCATTCCTCTACAACATCCAGAAAACTCCTCCTGATCCTTCAAGATACAGGGCCTCAATAAAGCCTATTCCAACCTCCTCAAAATAGAGCTGCTGACACTCCACTCTACCTTCTACAACACTTCTATTATAGACGTATCACGTTAATTATTGATAGCAGTAGCTGACAGTGCAAAGCTCCGTTCCAAGCATTTTAATATTATTAATCCATTTAAATCTCAACACCATGGGGTGAGTACACATACAATGCCAGTGTCTTACACAGAAGGAAACTGAGGCACAGACAGATCAATTACACTGCGATTATTTTCTTTACGTGCACCATCTATGAGACTATTAACCCCTTGAGGGCAGGGAGCATAATTAGCCTGTTACTGGGGTCTAGCACAGTGCTGACATTAAGTACCTGATAAATACTTGAATGAATGAATGGGTAAATAAAAATGTGTAATTGAGGCTAGACGCCTAGTATTTCATGCACGGTCCTTTAAAAAAACATAGAGAATTCTATCCCTTTCAATCGAGAATGGATTAAAGCTGTTCTTGAAGAGCTCAGAATCTGAATACCACTTTCCTGCCCTCTTCCTACATACCTATCATGTTGGGATAGCTTAAATTCAAAACATCAAAGCGCTTTTTGAAAATAGTATTTGAAACAAATGACTTTTGAACTATAGTACGGAATATAAGATGGGTAGAACTATGACATTAAGGCCTTGCTATGAAAGTGCTACAGAACAGGTATCAAAAACTTAGTGGGTTAGAACACAGATCTTTAAAAACACGTATCTGCATTTGAGTGTAACTTATTGGGGGGCTATAATCCTGGATGGACCAATTATTTACTTCAACCTCAGTCTCCTTTTCTCTAAAACAGTGTGGATAAGAGGCACCTGGCTGGCTCAGTCGATTAAGCATCTGCCTCTTGATTTCGGCTCAGGTCATGATCTCACAGTTCATGAGTTCGAGTCCCGCATTGGGATCTGTGCTAATGGTCTGGAATCTGCTTGGGATTCTGTCTCCCTTGCTCTCTGCCTGCAATCCCCACCCCCACCCCCACACTGTGTTCTGTTTCTTTCTCTCTCAAGAATAAATAAACAAATAAATGGGGCGCCTGGGTGGCTCAGTCGGTTAAGCGGCCGACTTCGGCTCAGGTCACGATCTCACACTCCGTGAGTTCAAGCCCCGCGTTGGGCTCTGTGCTGACCGCTCAGAGCCTGGAGCCTGTTTCAGATTCCGTGTCTCCCTCTCTCTCTGACCCTCCCCCGTTCATGCTCTGTCTCTCTCTGTCTCAAAAATAAATAAACATTAAAAAAAAAAATTAAAAAAAAAATAAATAAACAAATAAACTAAAATAAAATAGTGTGCATAACAGTAGAATGTACATTAGGTAAATACTTAGTGCTTGGGTATGGGATAAGCCTCCAATAACTTTTAGCTATTACTGTTTTCATTTTTACCTTCCACCATGGATCCTACACACAGAGATGAATTACTGGATGTGTAAAAAAAAAATACATAACTTTTTTTTATTTCTTAAGGTGACCCCATGACAAAGAATACCCCAAATGATGTTACAATAAGGTTTAGCTATATCACAATATTTAAAATTCTTCTGATTTACAAAAGCACATCCTTACCTTGTTTGGTGAATAAATATCATCTTGAAATAGTTAGAAAAAGCAGCAAGCACTGCTCTGTGGGCTTTGAAGTAAACGTCTCCAATAGCAACTGTGCAATCACACAGAAAACCAAATTCTCGCTGCATGTTCAGCTGCTGCAGGAGGACAAGGCTATGGCTACCTGTGTCCATTGTGGCTCTGAGAAAAAGCACAATTTTTGTTTGTTTTTTTTTTTACAAAATTAGCTACAGTTCACACACATCTAGAGTACAAGGACACCTAAATTTAAACGAGATTATTCAATAGTTTTTAATACTGTTAATTTCACCCCAAACCTAGCTAACATGAAATCCCTTCCTTATGAAAATACCAATTCTTCGAAAAAGGTAAAATATGGTCTTTTTTCATTTGGTAAGAAGGTGGCTTGGTATGAGTGACACAGAAGCAAAAGGAAGGCTGTCCTTTTTTAATCCATCTGACCTCAACGTTACCAGTCCTGTTTCCTCACTGGAAAATGGGATTGAGATGCTGACCCATTCCTCAGAGCTAAATGAGTGAGGTTATGTGACAACCACCTCGTGATGGAAACTGCTATTCAAATGTTAACCGCAACTGTTAATAACTTAACAGTGTCCTGGCTGGGCTAGAGGTGTTACTGCTCCTTAGGAATCCTCTATGTGGTCAGGGGACACTGGCCTCCTGACTATCATACAATGTTTGGGAAATGTGTCAGTCACAGTACATTCAGGAGCCCTTAAAATAGATACTAAGCCACATCCCCTGACTTACATGGGGCCTGGAACCCTATGGGAAAGAGCGTATACCCTGATATTAACTGGATTCAGACATACATACAAGTATGGAGGCTCCTGAAGAAACAATACAGAATGGGACCACCGGTCCTGGGAAAAATCACGCATGAGAAAGAACACGCAGAAGTATTCTGCCAGCAAGGGAGAGCAGTGTGAGCAGCAAGGGTACTGAGTGCTGTCGTTACACGTAGGTGGGAGGCCCCGCTTCACCACCTCCTCCCCAACCGTGTAGACAGCCACCAGTGTTTTAAGGAGAAGGCAGCCAGGTACGAAGGTCATCACTGGCAAGCTGGGAAAACCTTCTCTAAAAGAGCAATTTCTGCAAAAGAGAATGAAGTTTCCTCACTAGCCAGAGACCAAAGTCAAAGAGGTCAGCGTTGAAAGTGTGGGGTTAGCTGTCTGGAGATTGGCCGCAGCTTGGGCAGCAGACAGCTGAGTGATCAATGATATAATAGAACCAGCTAACACTTAACGGTGTTTCCTTTCCCTTAGGAACTTTCTACTCATTTAATTCTCAATACAACTCTACAAGAAAAGGGAGTAAGCAATGCACCTTACAGATGAAGAAACTGAATCATTGCAAAATAAACGGACTCAAGTCATACTGCTAGTAAGTGGGAGAGTGGGGGATTCAAACCCAGATACTGGGCTCCCGAGCCCAAATGTCCTCCCTTTCCACCTTTCAGAGGGAACATGACCCACAAACTGGAGATGCTTAGGGAATGGTCAGGTTATACATCAAGACACACAGGGAAGCCTTGGGGCGCCTGGGTGGCTCAGTCAGTTAAGCTTCTGACTCTTGGTTTCGGCTCAGGTCATGATCTCACGGTTTGTAAGTTTGAGCCCCGCATCGGGCTGTGCACTGACAGTGTGGATCAGGATTCTCTCTCTCTCTCTCTCTCTCTCTCTCCCTCCCTCTCTCTCTCAAAATAAACTTTAAAAGAAAAAATTATGAAGTATTTCAGATGGACAAATAGGTACAGAGAGCAATGGGACAAACACGCAGCCACCCACCCCTGAGCACATAAGGTAAACGTTACAAACATGGCAGAGACCCCCTGCCATCGCTCCCTCATTTGCACTACCTCCTACCTTGCCTCTGAAGGCCGTCATCATCCTGACTTTGGTGTTTATGACTGTCTTGTAACAGCATTATGTTCTTGCTGCATCTGTACATATCCCTTAAGAAGGGAGAGTACTATTTTGCATGTTTTAAAAGTGTATGTAAATAATAGCGTACTTTAGGAATCCTGCAATTTGCTGCTTTTAGTTCTACATTCATAAATTGCTTTTTAAAATTCTACTTACTCACACATAAGTTTCTCCTAAGCCTCCCCCAATTAAAAAATAAATGAAAACAAAACTCTTACTCCTTGCCATCTCATTTTAAAAGCCTGTAAGCAGTAATGAAATAAGGAAAATAACAGAACCTACAGAGACCCGAGCCTCAATAAAAATCCAAATTGTAAGTATTGTTCCAAAAGGCCATTTGACTAGAAGTCACTACTTATTGTATTTGCTACATTACCCAGATTCCTAAACTCCACCAATTTAGAGAGAGATTTAAACACCAAAATAAAACTGGGTATCCTGAAGATTTCACCATGTGAAAAACATGTGTCTTAGATTCAATGAATGGTTCAAAGTGAAGTAGCTTAAACTAGCCTTACAAATTGTTTAAAGCAAAACAAAACCTCAGATCATAAACATTTTCACCAGATCTATATCTATCTGTCTATATATAGTGCAGTAGTATGATGAGCTATTGAACCACATGGAAATGAGAAAGGGCACACTAAAAAGCCACGTATACAAAAATGTTGTGGTTAATCGTCCATGAGTAACAGTTAAATTCTTCACTTACTGAACACATTTTTTTTGAAGAGAAACTTAATAAAGAAAAAATTATTTGAAAGCACGCATTACACAAGGCCTAGGGATAGAAAAAAAAATTACACAGATACTGCAATCAACAAGACTGCAGGCTAATAGGGGAGACAAAACATAAAACATAATAATTATGATATAAAGCAAAAGTGATAAATGTCATAAGAGCAGTTCAGAGAACATGTTATGGGGGGGGGGCAGGGATCAACAGCAGGTGACTCAATGGAAAATAAGCCATTATTTAGATGGACAGGCAGAGGGTGAACATAGCATTCCAGGCAGAAAAAAATAGGATGAATAGAATTACAGGGAAGAGTGTGAATATACAGGTAACTGAAGAATTCAGTCGGGCATAGAAAAAACAAAAGTAAGTGACTAACGAGATGTGGTTAGCTCACACAGGGTACCAATTGTAAAACTGAAAGGTACTCCAGTTGTGTTTGAGATGAACTGTTAAGATGTTTTTGCTGGAGGGAGAACACATAGTAGTTAAAGCTCAGACCCTGGAATTAGACAGCTTGGATTAAAATTTCAATTCTGTCATTTAGCTGTATGATCTTGAGAAGACACTTAACTTTCTGGTCTTTGGTTTTACTTGTAAACTATGGATGGATAATTACAGTATCTATCTATCTCACAGGTTGTTATATAGATTTAATACGATAATGCATATAAGCACTTAAAAGTAGTGGGGCCCATAATACCAAGTATCATCATCATCATCAGGCCTGTTAGTCAAACTGCTCTAGTAACAATACATAAAAAAGATTAGCAAGGGAAAGGTATGGAGAAATAAAGACCAGCAAGGAGTCTGCTGTAATATCCAAGTAATGGCAGTGGGAATGAAGGAATAAAAAAAGACGCACCAGACGCAGAACTGACATGACCTGGCAGCAGATTGGAAGTGATAAGCCACAGAGAATATCAAGTCAAAGGGGAGTCTCAGAATTCCAGCTTGGGTCACTGGAAGAATTCGTTCATCCCTTCAGGTCGTATTTGCAGAATAACTGTCAGGTGTCAATACAAAGGCAGGGTCCCAGAATGCTGGGGAAGAGGCATAGAAGCTGTCTTAATAAAAGAGAAGTTTCATTTTGGACATAGTTCAAGGTGTTCACGCTAGGACATCTGAGTAGAACGCTTGGTGATCAATGAGACAACATGAGGACTGGGGCTCTGGAGATCAGGGCTAGACACAGAGAGAAGGGCCTCAGTAATTACACAACCGAAGCCACCAGGAGTGGATGGGACTACTGAGTGAAATAAGAGGGAAAAAAAGCTAAGAATGAATTCTTGAACAACACAGAAAAGACACAAGAAGAAGAAAAGGAGAAATAAGAAAATATATTTTCCTATATAAGGGAATGGTGAAGGAAAGGCAAGAGCCTTGGCTGGGGGAGCCCAACAGCCTCCATTTTCCATGGTGGAAAATGCTGCAGACAAACGTGAGGATGAGGCCTATTACAAATGCCCCAAGTGTGGGGACCAAGAGGTTTCTGGTGACCTTTGACAATGGGAAAGCAGCAAGAGCAAAATATCTCACTGCAAGAGGATGTTAGAAAGCACACGTCATAAAGGGTAGGTACAGATAGGATAGGGCACTGAGAATAGGCAGCTTCAGCTTGGAGAAGACTTCCAGCCTGAAGAGGGGTGGAGTCTCTAGAAGCCAGAAGGAACACAAGCAGAAGTCTTAAGTGTAGTAGTCAGCCACAGAGAAGAGAGGGATTTCTTTCTGATGGTGGCAAGGAGATGATGAGGTGAGGGGAGAATGTGAGAGTAGTCTGTAGATGGCTTTGATTTACATACTATGAAGTTAGTCCATATGCAAAGGGAAGAGCTGAATTTAGGCCTTGAAAGAAACCTAGAGTAATAATCCCTGATGCTAACATATAGTGATGAAGTTCATACAGAACTTTCACATAAAACAATCTCTTTTTCTCTTTTATTTTTATTTATTTTTTATTTTATTTTTTATTTTAAATTTTTTTTTTCAACGTTTTTTTTTTATTTATTTTTGGGAGAGAGAGAGACAGAGCATGAACGGGGGAGGGGCAGAGAGAGAGGGAGACACAGAATCTGAAACAGGCTCCAGGCTCTGAGCCACCAGCCCAGAGCCTGACGCAGGGCTCGAACTCACGGACCGCGAGATCGTGACCTGGCTGAAGTCAGACGCTTAACCGACTGCGCCACCCAGGCGCCCCTCTTTTTCTCTTTTAGGTGTGATACTTTCTATTAACCTGTCTTCAAATTCATGGACTCTTGTCATTTCTGTTAAACTCATTCAGTGAATTTTTAATTTCAGATATATTTCCAGGTCTAAAATTTTCATCTCATTCCTTTTTAGTGTCTGGTTCTCTGCTGAGATTTCCTATTTCTTTGCCCATTACCGCTTTACTTTATGTTCTTGAGCATAGTTATAATAGCTACTTTATTAGTGCCTGGGTGGCTCAGTCAGTTAAGTGTTTGGCTCAGGTCATGATCTCACAGTTTGTGAG